TCAGTAAATGTAAAGCATTTGCCAATATCCCAAAATAATAAAGCAATATATGCATGATTTCACTGTTGGAATTGAATGATGCCTTTATTCTCCAGGTATGCTGAGAAAGGCCTCCATCCTCAGACTGACACACATGTAAACAGAGCCAGAGATGATGGAGTAGAGATATTGTTGCAGGGCTTCTCCCTCCTACTGGGAATCAGCTGCTCAGGTCAAGGATCAGACTGGGCAGGAGCAGTGCAGTGACACTGTGATGACAACAGCTACCTGCAGAACACAAACAGAGCAGATAACGGTCATCAATCACCCAGCAGTCACCACCAGCTCGAGTAATCCCTCTTGTTCAGCGACAGTGCTGTCAGCCTTTTTCAAAACACAGGACACAAACTCTTACAGTACCCCTGCCTCAGGCTTTCATTCCATTTCATTTGTGAATTATTAATTGGCAAGAAACCAATGAGTCCTTTTTATTTTGAAAGTGTCACAGGTTGTGGAAAGTAATTTATGATTGTGGTCAATGGCTGAGTTTTAATTAAGTCCAGGCCAGAGTTCATAGTGCTGGAGATGGAAGTGGTTCGTTAATCACCAACTAGCAGACTAGCCGTGTACACCAAAGGCCAGAGTATGTCCCTTTTATCTGAATGAAAGTTAATAGTTGTCCAGAAGGACACATATAAGTGAATTAATGCTTGAAGGCACAGAGGAATCTGAAGATCGTTTTGGCATTTGGTCATCGCACCCTGGTTGAATCCGATCACAATAAACGTTCAGAAACAATCTGTGAATTCATGTTATTAATAAACATCTGAGCTCTCATTGACTCATGTGTGCTTGGAAATTACAGGCTCTCTTTGAAACTTTAAGCAGGAAGACTTGTGTTACTTGTTGATGGCAATTCTGGCCAGATTTCAACCAGGAAGGCTGTGGCCCCAGCACCACCACCATACACAAACACATACACAAACACACAACGAACATACACACAGGCATTCTTTATCCATAATTTATGGCACAGACCAACAATCTCCTTTAGAGTCCTTCAGAAGCTATGAAGTGTCTGTCAGTCTATCATCATCCTCGTTGCAGAAAGTCTGAGTGATTGAAACCCACCCACTGATATCTACTGGGCACGTCCCCGTTTGGACAGACAGAGATCAATAGCTAAAAACATTATTTTGTGTGGTTCTTCATTATTTCTGTAAGCAATTCATCTGGTCATACTGGTGGAATACATTTAAACTAATTTATAAGCGATGCACTCTGTTGGCGCTGTATGTGAACAACGAGGTAGGCAAGTAGTAGGTAGGTAATAGTCATGAGCAAAGATATTACGTCTGAGAGCTTTTCATATCAACACAAAAGAAATAATATTTTTGTCAACTTTATTTTAGCCAGATTTACATTTAAGCACAAATCTATTTACACAAACAGAGTCAAAACTTCACATTTATTTCACGGAAAGCTACATTTACGCTACATTTACATGAGGACAAAAACTTTGATGAAATCTGCTGAAACTTTTGTCAGTGAATAAAAACAAAAAGAAAATATCCTGGAGAGACACGAGCCAATAAGAACTAATTACATTGTGTAGAAAGGCCAGGCGGGTTTTGAAGCAGTCCAATCAGAAGTAATCTGCATGCAGTAATGTTAGAGGTGCACAACTGAGGTGCTTTTTGGAAATGGTACCACTATCTCCCATCCTCCCGGTTTCTCATGAAAATGAGACAAAATGTCAGCACATAGGAAGACAAGAGTGAACATATGGACACATTTTCCATTTGATGTCAAGGAAAATGAGACACTTTGTAACCCATGTAGAGCAACTCTCACTGGTAAAAACACAACAAATTGTTTACACTTTATATTTTCGTCAGCTGAATAAACTGCTGCTTAAAATCTTATGATAGTCGACTAAAGCTAAAAGAATTTAGAAGTCTAAATTATAGGTAAAACGACTACATAAAAATTTGCTGCAAAATTAACAGCAGTCACTCTTTAACTGTATTTTTAGGTTTGATGGTTAGAGAGCACAGTTTTGACAACATCCCATATTTTCTCTTTATGATCTTATTAATGATTCTGTGTTTACTCCTTTGTTGTTGTTGCTTTTGTATTGCTGTTTCTGTTAGTTGTTAGACTTATATTTTGGTATTCTTGTTTTGGTTATTCTGAATCTCTCCAAGCTCCCTCTTGCTGCCGACTTTCCTTTGTCACATGATTCCCCACATCGCTACTTCCTGTTTTATTTTGGTACTTCTATGTCTTGTCTTGTTATCCTAACTTTTCTTTAGGTGTGTTTAGTTCCCCAGCCTTCAATGTGTCTGCGTGTATTTAAACTCTCAGTTTGCCTTAGTTCTCTGTTCTGTTTGTTTACCATTGCCTTCTGTTGTCCAGCCTAAACCTAGGTTTCCTGGACTACAAGGGTTATTCACACCACACGCCTGATTATCCTTTGTCAACATCCCTATAGCTTTAGCCCCAGAGTTCAGCCCATGGCAGTCACAACACATAAACAACTGCTCCTCATATGAAAGTAAAACCTTTATCACAGATATTTATAAATTATAGGGTTCATATGGATTTCATGCTGCATATGCACACATTTTATTTCTTCTTATTCAGCCACTAATTCTAGCTTCTTTAAATGTATGTGTTATTTGTTCACTGGCAAAAAGAATAACAATTCTGGATACTGTTCCAAAATAAAAGGCAGAGATACTCCTCCTATGGGATAGAGCCTCTGAAAGAACACATCTTTTAGGCTTATTTTGATCTTTTCAGCTTGTTACATGAAACGGAGGCTTCATAAAAGGCTATTGTTTACTCTGAACACCACACTAATAGATTCAAAATGTCGATATGCTGTAATTCCGGCCGACACTTTAGATAATCTTTTTACAATCGTCAATCTGTACGTTTCTAGTAATGATTATCGTTTTTTTCCCTTTAATATTGTCTTACACCCTTTAATATAACGCTCCAATAAATCAGTAAATGTAA